TAATAGTAATAATAACAACAAAAATCACAAAAAAACTATGGCCTACTCAAGAGAACAAAATACATAGACAGAAACTATCCTTAAAGAAGTCTAGACAAAGACTTCAAACAAGTTTATTAATTATACTCAAAGAGCTAAGGGAAAATATAGACAAGGAATTAAGGAAAATGATATATGAACAAAATCATACTATTTATTAGTAAATATAAATTATCAAAATAACCAAACAGAATATTTGGCATTAAAATGTCAAATAATTGCCAGGCGCGGTGGCTCATGCCTGTAATCCTAGCACTTTGGGAGGCCGAGGTAGGTGGATCACCTGAGGTCAGGAGTTCAAGACCAGCCGGGCCATCATGGTGAAACTGCATCTTTAAAAAAAAAATGTCAAATAATTAAAATGGAAACTTCACTAGAGGCCAGGTACAGTGGCTCATGCCTATAATCCCAGCACTTTGAGACACCAAGGCGGGAGGATCACCTGAGGCCAGGAATTTGAGACCAGCCTAGCAACATGGTGAAACCCCAACTCTACTAAAAATACAAAAATTTGCCAGACATGGTGACGTAAACTTGTAATCCTAGCTACTCAGGAGGCTGAGGCAGGAGAATCGCTTGAACCCTGGAGGTGGAGGTTGCAGTGAGCCAAGTTTGCACCACTGCACTCCAGTCTGGGTGACAGAGCAAGACTTTGTCTTAAAAAAAGAAAAAGAAAAAGAAAACTTCACTAGAGGGGCAAAGCAGACAATTTGAGCAAGTACAAAAGAGCATAGGTGAACTTGAAGATAGGACAATTTAAATTATAAAATCTAAGGAGTAGAAAGGAAAAAGATGAAGGAAAGTAAAGAGAGCCTAAGAGACTCCTAGGACACCATCAAATGAACCATATATGTATTATGGTATTTTCAGAAGGAAAAGAGAGATAGAATGAGGTAGAAAAAATATTTGAAGAAATAATGGTCCAAAACTTCCCAATCTGCTGAAAGGTTTAAATCTACAAATTCAAGTTGAAAAAACTCCAAGTATTATAAACTCAACCCCCAACAAGACACATTATGACCAAATTGTCAAAAACTAAAGGCAATAAGAGAATCTTGAAATGAGCACGAGAGAAGTGTCTAGTCACATACAAACATCCTCGATAAGATGAATAGCCAATTTCTTATAACAAACTAAGGAGAAGACAGTGTTATGGTGTACTTACAGTGCTGAAAGAAAAAACAACCTTTCAACCAAGAGTCCTGTATCTGGCAACACCATCCTTCAGAAATGAGGGAGAAATTAAGACGTTCACGAATACATAAGAAGTCAGCACTACTAGATCTTCCACAGAGGAAATGCTAATGGGAGCACTTCACATTGAAACAGAAGGGTACAAAACAGTAACTCAAAGCCATATGACAAGTAAAGGTAAATGTATGGGCAAATATAAAAACCATTATTGCCTTTTTGGTTTTTAATTCCACTTTTTATTTGCCACAGGATTCAAAAGACAAATGCATAAAAATGATTATAAATTTGTGAAATAACTTATCTCACAAATGAGATAACTTGGATGAGATAGACAAATTTCTATAAATGTACAAATTATCAAAACTTACAAAGAAAAAATAGGAGATCTTTGTAGACCTATAACAAGTAAGGAGATTGATTCAATAATAAGAATCTTCCAACAAAGAAAAGTACAGAACCAGGTGGCTTCACTGGTAAATTCTACCAAATATTTAAAGAAGAATTAACATCAATCTTTATCACATTCCTCCAAAAAATAGAAGAGAAAGCAACACTTCATGATTCATTCTATGAGGCCAGCATTAGTCTAATGCCAAAGCCAAAGATATCATAAGAAAATAAAACTACAGATCATACCTTTAAGAATATAGGCCGGGCGCGGTGGCTCACGCTTGTAATCCTAGCACTTTGGGAGGCTGAGGCGGGTGGATCACGAGGTCAAGAGATCGAGACCATCCTGGTCAACACGGTGAAACCCCGTCTCTACTAAAAATACAAAAAATCAGCTGGGCCTGGTGGCGCGTGCCTGTAATCCCAGCTACTCAGGAGGCTGAGGCAGGAGAATTGCCTGAACCCAGGAGGCGGAGGTTGCAGTGAGCCGAGATCGCGCCATTGCACTCCAGCCTGGGTAACAAGAGTGAAACTCCGTCTCAAAAAAAAAAAGAATATAGATGTAAAAACTCTTAGCAAAATATTAGCAAACTATGTCCAACAGCATATAAAGCCATGACAAAGTGAGATTTATCCAAGGAATACAAGTGTAATTCAACATAAGAACATCAATCAATGTAATATACCACGTTAATAGAACAAAAAAAAAAAAAAAAAAAAAAAAACAAAGTTAAAAAAAAAAAAAAAAAAAAAAAAAAAAGACAACATATGATCATCTCAATTCATCTAGAAAAACTTCAACATTAAGGATGTTTATTTAAAAACAGATCGCTAACATCATATTCAATGGTTAAAGACTGAAAGCTTTTCCCCTAAGATCAGGAACAAAACAAGGATGCCTGCTTCAATCACTGATATTTAATTTGTACTAGAATTTCTAGACAGATAACTTTGACAAGAAAAAGAAATGAGTCATCAAAATTGGAAACAGAAGTAAAACTGTCTCTATTCATAGATGACATGATCCTATACATAGAAAATCCCAACAAATCATTTAAAAAAAGAAAAGTGAAACTACTACATATAGTAAACAAATTTAGCAAAGTTTCAGAGTATAAGGCCAACACATAAAAAATCAGTTGTGTTTCTATACACCTCCCAGTGAACAATCTAAAAAAGATAGTTATAAAAGCAATTTCATTTACAATAGCATCTAAAATAATAACAAACTTTGGAAATAAATTTAATGAAGGAAGTGAAAAACTTGTATACTGAAATCTACAAATCATTGCTGAAAGAAATTATAGACTCAAATAAATGAAAATACATTCCATGTTCATGGATAGGCAGATTTAATATTGTTAAAATGTCAGCATTACTCAAAATGGTCTGAATATTAAATGCAATTCCTGTCAAATTCTAATAGCCTTTTTTGTAGATATGAAAATTTTTGTCCTGTATTATTGGATATAGAAAAAAAATCAAAATAGGGAGCACATAGTTTTGAGAAATGAATAACAAATATACAAAAATTCAAACCCTGTAACATGACCAAAGGAGACTTTGAAAGGCAAGTTATAATCTTCAATTTATTCATAGAAAAAGTATAAAATGTTGAATATCTTTTGTATTTTCAATCCAAAAAATTAGAAAAGTTTGGTTAAGCAAACTTAAAGAATATAAAAATTTTAATGAATGAGTAGATGGCTACAGGAACAAATAGCAAAGCACCCAACGTATAAAGTCCCATGCACCACTCTCTCCCTGCATACACAAATGCAAAATCTGTAACAGGTGGTTTTATGTAAAAAAATACAATAGAATAGACAATTTTGGAAACTATGATCAGGAATGAAGAAAGATCAGAAAAATAATAGAGTACATGAATTACATTACACAGTATCATTATATTCAAAATCCGGAATAAAATGAACAACTTTCTAGAAAAATATAATCCATCAAAATTGACCTCAGAATAAATGTAAAAATTGGAATGAACCAGTAGCCATAACAGAAAGCAAGATAGTAGTAATCATTTATTCCCGCAAAAGGTACCAGGATCAGAGTGTTTTATGGCCACATCAAACCTTCAAGAAGTAGCTAATCTTTAGTTTAATAGAAACTATTCCAGAGAATACAAATAGATGGAAAGTTTTGACTCATTCTACGAAGTCAGCCGTACACTGATGCCAAACAAAGACGAAATCAGCTAAGAGAAAACACTGTTGGCCAGGCTTTGGTGCATGCAGTCTTGGCTCACTGCAGCCTTGACCTTCTGGGCTCAAGCAATCTTTCCACCTTAGCCTCCTGAGAAGCTGGGACTACAGGAACATGCCATCAACCCCAGCAAATTCAGCATTTTTTGTACAGACAGGGTCTCACTGTGTTGCCCAGGCTGGTCTCAAACTCCTGGGCTCAAGCGATCCTCCCATCTCAGCCCCACAAAGGGCTGGGATTTACAGGTGTGAGCCACAGTGCCCAGCTTAAATGCCTATTCTTGGCATCAATAGATTGAAAGAGCAAAACTATATGATCCTCTCAAGAGTTAACACAAGTATTTCGATAAAATCAATAATTATCTACAATTTTTTTAATCAGGTAATTCAGCTATAAAAGGTAACTTTCTTAATCTGGTGTAACATATAAACCTGAAATCTCCAGGCCAGGCCACAAATGCTATAATGAACTGTTAGAAGCGTTTCCAATTAAAGCAACACCAAAAAAAGATCTGGCATCATCTCTACTGGAGGTTCCAACCATTGTAAGAAGACAAGAAAAATAAATAAAAGATAAAATATGGGAGGAGAGTGATAAAATAGTCTTAATTAGAAGAAAACATTATATTTTATCTAGAGCTGTCAAAATAATCAGTTGATAAACTACTAACAATGAGTTCCATAAGATGACGGGATGTAAGATCAATATGCAAAAATCAATAGCTGTGACTGATTAGCAAATGCAATTATAAAAATCTGTTTTGAATATCCCTAAATAATGAAGAGTGCCCTGGTATAAATCTAGAAAGAATGCACAGGCCTTTGTGGAGGGAAGTTTAATAACGAATGGTTTTTAAATGAGCTAAAAGAGATTTCTAAGTTCAATTTACAATCTTAAGGAAAACCATGCTTTTAAATTTGTGCTCGTGATATACTGCATACCAACTTCAAATCAAAGCAGCTGTATTTTTCTGCATACAACAAACCCAATCAGAAATAAAACAACACAACATCCACACTGACAAACAAATAAATGTAGACTGACGAGTAGGGACTCCAGTCCCCAAACACCTGGACCCCCTGAGCTGGCAGACCACTTTCTTCCCTGTGGTGGAATGGAAGCCTTCACCCTGCCCACAAAGCCCTGCACTGTATTCCTACCTTGTTGTGAGACTAGTCCCCATCCTGTAGCCCAGCAATTGGCACTGGTAAGGTCCAGATCTGGAGGTGGAAGGCAGACCGGGAGCACGGAGTCAGAAAACGCAATGCGGCTCTTCAGCTGCACCAGCGCCACGTCGCCTCCGATGGGGTGGTCCACCTCATACGAGGGATGCAGGATCACCCGTTCCACCTCATACCACTGGGTGTGGTTGCCGGCCACCCTGAGGTTCACAAGGCCTACGTACATGTCATAGATTTTGATGTTCTTGTCCCTGCGTGGGTGAGAACAGAGGAACAATGCCCGCTGCCTCCTGTGTGGTCAGCCCACAGGCCTGGGGAGGCCAAGCACAGGAGGCTGGCGCCTACTTAGTGGGACCGGAAAGCCAGCTTCTTCCGGCAGCACAGTCGGGACCTACCTGGCTGTCTGGCAGAGGTGCCTCCTGAGTCGACTTGGCCCATGGAGGCTCTGGAGACCAAAGTCTGTGCACGGCCAGCAGCTGTACAGGCCAGCAGCCCAGGCCTGCGAGACCTGCTCTCATTCTTACCGACAGCCTGGCTGCTCACATCCCTGTGGAGGCCACATGGCCACAGGAGAGCCGTGCCTGCTGTGCGGGGCAGCTGCGGTGAGCCGGCTGCTGGAGGAGCCACCAGGAAGGCCAGGTGCTTGGAGACCAGCCTCGCTCACGGGGACCTGGCTGTGCACTTGGGGGACCAGCCTCGCTCACGGGGACCTGGCTGTGCACTTGGGGGACCAGCCTCGCTCANCACTTGGGGGACCAGCCTCGCTCACGGGGACCTGGCTGTGCACTTGGGGGACCAGCCTCGCTCACGGGGACCTGGCTGTGCACTTGGGGGACCAGACTCGCTCACGGGGACCTGGCTCTGCACTTGGGGGACCAGACTCGCTCACGGGGACCTGGCTCTGCACTTGGGGGACCACCCTCAAGGGTGGGGACCCAGTTGCGTGCTTTGACCCAGCCTGACTGGTGGGGACCTGGCCCTGTGGGGACGGACAGTGGTGAAGGGGGAGGCTTGCATGGGGTCCATCCAAGCCGCTGTGCGCACGCCGTGCAGGCCCAGCTCCCCACACCGTCCCGGGCCCGCGCCCCCTCACCGGCCGAAGCAGTGCGCAGCCGACAGCACCCAGTACTCGTTGAGGATGGAGCCGCCGCAGACGTGGAGGCCCGCGTAGTGCACGCTGACCTGCCACGGCCACCTCCTCTCCGGCGCGGGGCGGCCGCCCAGGATCTTCCCCACCATGCTGGGCCGGCCACAGGCTGCAGGGAGGACGGAGCTCACGGTGGAGCCACGCTGGGGCCACAGGAGGGGTAGGGAGGGGAGGGGGACGCGGGGACGGGGGG